ACCACAGATCGACCTCCGCTTGTGTCCTGAGGAATCTTAATGTGAGCGGACTTTTACATAAAACTATAGACACAGTGGTAAATGAGACAGCAGGAGGAATTAAAGCTTTACACAAATATGAATGTGCAAAAATATCACCAGCTGCTCTCATTACAGGGCAGAGATGGGGTGAATTTAGGCAAAGGACGTTAAGTTTTGTTCATTTTTGCTGATACAAAGGACGAAGTGAGAAGAAGTTGATGCTAACAAACATTACTGCACATTTAACTAGTACCAGTAGGTTGTTTTAACCTATTGAAAGTGGTTAAAATAAGCTAGTTTGGCTGCTGCAGACACAACAAGCTCAAGTTTGACCTTAAAATTGTCACAAATGTATCGTTAGCTTCACAAAACAATGTGAACATGACATTTAAAACTGCAAAAGACAAACATATTATTAACATTCAGTAACAAAACAGTTAAAATGAGCTAGTTTGGCTAAATAACACAATTAATAAAGGTAATAAAAAGAAAAACTAAACCAGCAAATTCAATCCCATTGATTCAGGTATTTTTCTTGTAATGTTAACCCAGTATTGTGTTCAGGGTCAATTCTGACACAGTGACTTTTAGTGTGTGTGTGTGTGTGTGCAGCCAAATATAGCTCAGACACAAAACTTTTTTGTTTGTTTGTTTGTTTTACAAATTCAAAAAAATTACAAATTACAAAATTGAAGACACTTACACCATAAACTGATGCAGAAAAAGGAAAAATCGGTGCATGAAAATCCGCCAGAATGCAGGAAATAAAGCGCTCGATGCTCAAAGTTTTCATGTAGAGGACCCCAAATCAACAATTTCATATGTGTTCCCCCCGATGTCGAAACAAAACCTGTGCCTTTGAGTATAAACATCATATGTTTCAAACCTTAAAGATAATTAAATTAAAAGAGGGAAAACTGCATGTAAGGGGTTCATAGAGGGGCAGCAACTCAAAGTCAGGAAGATGTCACAGTTGTTTTAGAAAACTTTTCAGTGTGGATCCACATCTGACTGCAGACTGTCTCCAAAAGGAATCAATTTTTGGTGTTAAAGATAAGTAAACATTCAATGATGTAATATAATTTAATGTGGACATTTCATTTCCAAATGTTTGTGATGTGTTCTTTCTTTCTTTCTTTCTCTCTATCCTGCAAGATGTGTAAATAGAATAAAGTGATTTTAAAGAAAACCATAAGGTTGTCACTAATTTGACCTTTCTCACTTTCTTTTTAAGCAAGTTCAGACTCAAAAAAATGTCTGCATAATGTGAGGAAAGGAGGGTCAGCTGCCCAAAACCTAAAAAAAGGTAACTATTTAACTAACCATAAATATAAAGCAGCCATCCAGGTGCATTCTGTCACTTTCCCAACTATGGTTTCGGCTTGTGACCCATTAAAACAAAGACATGTCAACTTGCGACCCCTTTATCATTGCATTTTAAATCTACAGATTTTTCACAGTTTCATCAGAATATTTTTTCACAAGAGAATGTAGCAAATATTAAACGAACATCTGGGAAAATTTTGTGTCATAGGTATGTTTTTTTTCTGGTTTCCTATCCTGTTGATTCCTCATTCATCTCGGTCCTGCAGGTCAGTAAACACTGTATTATATCATTCAACACGTAATGAAAAACAATGTATTGCATCCCAGTGGGAGCCCTCTCACAGATCCCAGGTGGTCCCCCCTGTTAGGTGCACCACTGCTACATGATCCACATGCACGCTGCTGCCCCCTGGTGTCACAGCAGAGAAACAACAGCAGGTGTCGGTCAGAGCTGAGAGTGTCTGTGATGGAGTGTCTCCCCCTAGTGGACACTGCTCACTGCTGTTGTCCTTACAAAGACGCTCCTGTGTGTGTCCTCTGGGTCAGAGAGGAATGTGTGTGTCCCACCATGAGGTGTGGAGGAACCGAGTTTATAATGGATGCTTTTTTAAAAGGAGTAAATGTTTAGAAAGAAGCTTGGAAATGTTTTGTTGGTGACAGCGTGTTAAGTGTGAGATCAGCGGAGTCAGGTCACAGGTCAGGCAATCTGAGGTCAACCGAGAGAAATTAAAAAATACTCCATTAAGAGCTTCTTACGTATCCCTGTGGTATCCCTGAAGTACAGTGGCGTAATGTTCCTTCAAACCATTAGTCAAACACATCAGAGAGCATCTTCGCAATGGCCTTGAAAAGATGCTTTTCACTGATATGTAGCCTGATTTATATTTTGAGCAGACATGAAAGCTTTGACGCTCCACTACTGTCTGTATGCAAGGGGTTAGGTTTCGTCATTAGGGGTGACACATATGAAATTTTTGAGCATCTAACACTTATTTTATGCACCAAATCTCACCTTTTCTGCATCAATTTATGTTATAAATGTCTTTAATTTTGTCAGAATAAAAAGCTTTTGCTACTTTCATGTTTTCATTGCGGGGGACAAATGCCCATATTGTAAATATTGAGGGGGGCATGCCCCTTGTGAATGTCATATCATTTCTTTAGTGATACTTGATATCCATCCATAGCCGCTGTCGCCATGGGGGAGCCACAGGGCCCAGCTGTGCACACCTCCCAGCTCTGCAGGAAGTACTGATTTAAAAAAAAAAAACCTTACACATCTAATACCATACCAGTTCATGTGCAGTTTCCATTCCCTTATTTTAAATGATGAACTGAACGAGAAGGAAAAGACAGAGGAGCAGCCATGTGTCTGTGTCAGTGCTCCCAGCAGCAGCAGTCCCAGCGATCACACCGACACAGACGAACATGTTCTTGGTGAGCAGAGTATAAATCCTGAGCAGTTTACATCCAGTTCCCTGATGTCATAAGGATATTAATATTATGGAGCAGTCTTTCTGCACTACTGTCTCATAAAGCACCCTTTATACGTTATAAGTAATGTCTTGTGTTGATTAATAATGCTTTACAGATCAGCCATAATGTGGAACTAATGGTGGTTTTCCAGGTTGTGGGTGATCTGTCTCGCTGCATGGTGTTTATACTCAAGTGTGGACACTTTCTATGTGTTTCTGGTTCATCATGGAAATCTGCTCATGGGACCGTTTGACCTCTGACCTTTTGCAAAACCGTTGCAAAAGACCATCTTGATAACAAACCATTTATTATGTTATGTTTTAACATCAGTGCTTTCAAGGGTGTAGGTTTTGTTTCAACATTTGGGGGCGGACACACGGGTGGGTGCTGAGATGAACATTTAAAATATCTTGTAATAACTGGATACAGATGACCAACTTTTGCTGTCGGCTTACTAGAAAGTAAAAAACACGTGACCCTTATTATTAAGTACTTATTGACATTTATTGCTGCAGATTTTATGACTTTTAGAAATATTTAATTCTGTTTTTATTAATGACTTGCCTATAAATGCCTTGAAAGATTTTCCACAACAACTCAGTGACTCTCTTTATAAAGAGTGTCTTATTAGAAAGTGGCCCCCTATTTTTTTAATCAGCCGGAGGAAATAGTAAGGCCTAACATAGGTGTAAATTTGGGGGTGGGGGGCAGGGGACATGTTCCCCTCGTGTGTGGAATATGTGAATTTGTTCCCCCCTGTCTTCAGATGAAAATATGAAAGTAGCAGAGCACTTTTTCAGACATTTACACTATTATTAATGTAGAAAAGACACAAACTGGTGCATAACAATGAACCAGAATGCAGAAAATTAAGGGTTTGATGCTCAAAGTGGTCTGACGTGGACCCCCAAACCCTCCATTTCACTTGGGATCCCCCCAGTGTTGAAACAAAACCTGTGACACATAAAGAAACTGTGTGTTTTTAATCATTTGCTGAACGTTTTTATCGCTTTTCTTTATTTCTGTTCACACAAGCACTATTATTTTAAATTATTCTGACCAAAAAGACTCCATTGAAACGAAACTTAGGCCCTTGAGGCCTTTTATACCCTACCAGGGGATTGTATGATACTGAAACACTTTTTCCTGAGGTGAAACTGATCAGAAATCTTTCTGTGTGTAGGCTCATTCATCTCCGTGTTTCGTGCGCTTTGTCTGGATGAATTTCTAACCTCTCCTAACTACCCTGAAATCACGTCTCGGTGGTTACAAAATCACCGTCAAAGGCGCGTTTGTTCCTCCCTCGTGTCCTTTTTTTAGAGGTGGCTGCTCGCATGTTGCTTACAAGTCACTATTCCGGTGTAAACATGTTATCCACGCGCTTTGATGCCTCTCAAACCTCCAACCTTCAGCCAGCGAACAAGGGATCAATATGTAAATCGACTGAGACTTTCTGTGCGATGTCTGCGTCCAGGAGAGGCGATAAGCTGCAAAAATAAACCGGAGTTAGTTAGGAGGTATAGCCGGGGATTATCCCAAACTTGCCCCGGGGTTTGGCGCTCCTGCGCGCAACCGGACCGGCGTCTGTTCGCCGCGGCCGGATAGGACCTGCAGGGCCCCGGGGCGCAGACTGACAGCCTCCCCGGGGGCCCACCCCTCCATGACTCGCTCAGGATGGAGATTATAGGGTGGCAGTGCGGCTGGTATCTCTCTGAACACTCACACATACATACACATAGAGGGAGGTGAGATGATCTCGGAGTGCCCGCGGCAGCAGCCATGCCCATGGAGATTGACGCCTGAGCCTCACACGGCTATCACACTCCCCGCAGAACACACACTCCACAGCCCCGTGTGATGAGCCGATACAAACCAACTTTGTTCAGCTGACAAAGAGGCAATTGTTAGCTGAAAGGTCATTTGCCCGAGGGCTGCAACACAGCAAGTACAGCTAGAGAAGATAAAAAAAGCTGCCCTTTTTTTTTTAGTCATATCTGCACTGAGGGAGCTTTGATAAACCTGCTCCTTGAAATCAACATGCTGATCTGGAATGAAATGAGGGCTCTGGGCTCTTCAACTCTGCGGACTTCCCCCTCACATTTATCTATAAAAAGATTTGATTACAAAACCTCAAATTGCATTAGATCTGCTGCAAACATACAGACAACACAAACAAATCAGATTGATAGAAGATTTATTCTTTTAATTTACGTATTATCTCTCTTTATGTACAGCATGATCTCAGGGTATAAATCATCTCTAACAATAAATCTACATATCTCCCAAATACTCTTTTGGTACAGCAGGTGTTGTTTTTACGCACAAGTCAAGACAAACAAGTACACCCAACACTGATTTTATTTATTTTTTTAAATATATAAACATATTAATCTTACAACAAAGTTGACGATCTCATTGCTTTGAGCACAATACATCCTAAAATCATTTGGTTTGGTGTAGATGCAGCAGTGAAGTCCAGTTGAAGATGAGTCAGATACATTTATGGATGCTCTGGGTGGGACACCAGAAGGAAACTCAACAAAAACACAAGTTTTGGTGTCATTACAATCAGCAACATGAGTGTGAAGCTTAAAAACATCAGACAGGATGATGGGAGATAGTTTTTTCAGGAGAAATGGCTCCAGGATAGAAACAAACAGAACAAATTCAACTACTTCCTGTTTCAGTTCCTCCCATCTCTCTCTTTTTATGACTGGCTGACAGCGGCAGGGGGTGTGGCGTTGGCTACGGCGGCCGCAGCGCCCATACGCAGCAGTTCCTTCCTCTGTGTGAGGATGATGTCGAAGCTGGACTGCAGGCGGTTCTGCTGCTCCTGAATGCGGGCCTGCAGGGTGCGGACCCAGCGGATCAGCGCCAGGCGGCGGTACATGGTCAGCTGCACCTGGTGCTTCTCCATCTCCTGGGCCTTGAAGCGCTCACGGTCTCGCAGCGTCCACACCGCATCCATCAGCTCTGGCATCTCGCCATCTGAGTCTGAAGACTGATCGTCATTGTCTTCCACTCCTTCTTCCAGAACATTTCCCAGGTTGCTTCCTGTCAGCGACTTGCGGCTAAAGTTTTTGTGTCTTGCAGCTGGTTCCCTGTTGCTGTTTCTGGTTGGGTCACTTTCCTGGTTAGATTTTGGTTCCCCAACACCGATGCGATCCCAGCCTCCCATGAGCGCCCCTTCACCTCCACTGTCCATATTGAGGGAGGACATGCTGCCGCCGGACCGGTAGCTTGACTCAGACTCAGAGCCACTGTCACCCCATTCATCATTGTCTTCCTCCAACGCCTCGTCGTCCTCTTCCTTTCCTCTGAAACCCAAGCTGCTTTTCCTCCTCTGCTGCTCCCGTTTCTCTCTCTGCTTCTCCTCATTCTGGCTCATCATTACCCTCCTCTCCTCTTCCTGCATCCTACCTTCCTCCGCTCCATCAGGCGGCACCCGGCCGTAACCATCCTCCCCGCTCTCGATTTCAGGCAGGGGCTCAAGTGGGCTCCAGCAGGGCAGGCGGGAGCGCGGTGACAGGACCCCTGAGTTGTGGTGATACCCGGGAGACGAGGAGGAGTTTGCAGGGTCGCGACCCAAGCTGCGGGGACGCACCTGGTTTCGGTTCTCATCTCCTCCTCCTCCGTTGAAGCCCTCGTTGTCTTTGCCCGGCAGGAAGTTGAAGTTACCATCTTTGTCACCCTTCCTGTTTCGCAGTGAGGAGGAAGAGCCATTGTTGGAGCCTACCTGCCCTCGGTAGGCCGAGTTCAGAGGTTGGTCCTGATGGCGGAGCATCACTGACCTCGACTGAGCCTCACTGAAATGACAAGAGACAGAACATTAAAGCGCTGAAAGAACCTCAACCTCAGATTCATCAACAAAGTTCCTGTATGTCAGCTTGTGTTTAGAGTCATTCCCATACTGATACCAGTATCAGATCAATTATCAGCAAGAATGCAAGTCTATAAACTGATCTGATATCACGTAATTTATTAATAAATGTTAGAAGTAGTTTCACATTTAGATAAAACAGCAGTTTTCCTGGAAATCAACCCTTTTTTGCTGCTCTAAAACAGCAGCCACGCAAAGCAAGTTGTGCTGTGCCGCTGCTGGCAAATACTGTCCTACAGCACTGATGAAGAACTGATTTCAGATAAATAGTGTGACGTTAGCAAAACACCAGCAATTTGGCAACTTGTACCAGGTTACTCAGGTACTTTACTGGCAAAAGCATCCAAAAAATTCAAACGTTATCCAGAAAACAAATGATATCAACTGATCAAAGGCACAAAGAGTGTTTCTAGACCTTGGTGTGCTGAAGTTTTTAGTGGAGAAACTTCGACATCTTATCAAATTCACACTGTCCTCTAAACAATAGCTCTATTTTCCCATTTCTTGTTAATTAACATATTAATCGGATGCCCTTCCATAGCAAGCTCTCCAATTTCCCCCGAAGCTCAAGATCTCAAACCAAGCCAAGCTTTCAACTGCGTTATCAGCCAACCATAAAGGGACTTTGACCGCAATGTTCCAGTCACTCTGCAAGTTGATTTTGTGTACAAGCAGCTGCGTAGAAGATACATAGCGTCATCAGCAGCCTAAAAAGCCATGGTACACTTTGGAAAACGTTCATCTGAAAGTACCCGCTAACTGAGCTGAATTAAAAGCAACAAAGTGTAACAACAGTTGGGTATACATGGATGAGCCAAAGCTGCAATAAAACTGATGAAGTGGAAAATCAAATCTAGTTCACCACCTCACACACACACACACACACACACACACACACACACACACACACACACACACTCGTAGGTCGCACCAAACTCCTTGTTTATAACTAGATTATGTCTAGAACTACAGGCTGGTCTGCACACTCCACTTCTATTAGCATCAAATATTTACATGTCTCCTCAGAATGGAAATTTCTCTAATCCTGACTTCAGGCTGCTGTCAATCAATCTCATCTCCTCTCCTCTCCTCTCCTCTCCTCTCCTCTCCTCTCCTATGCACGCGCGTTCACGTGGTGCTGAAGGACAGCGACTGTGGCTGTGTCGGGAGCGCGCGTGCAGCAGCAGGCACAGACTGATGCTTGACGATCACGCGGAGGAAAAAACAAGACAGTTTCTCCCTGTAAAATCGACGTTTAACGCCCCAAAGCTGGATTTAAAACATGAACTAATCTATAATGTGTTGAAATAATGCGCAGGAATAGATTTATGTTGATATATCTGTGTTTAACACAAGCAAAAACAACAGCAGGCGATGATAAAAAGAGAAATAATACCAAAACAGTGCTGCTGCCGGCTGGATGTTTCTCATATTACTGCACGGACGACGGCAGAAGACACAGAAAAGGCGACCAATGGCGCTCAGAGGCAGCATGTTTACGGCTTAGTGATGAATATAAGGTTGAAAAAAACATAAAACACGACGGTTTTAAATCTTAATCCGTCTACAGCGAGCCGGTGAGGTTAAAAAAGCCTCGACGTGTCCTGTTAGCGTGATAAAAAAAAGCAGAAAAACAGGAATATGTCATGTACGTTGGGCGTTATGTAACGCTCACCCCATATCTGTGCTGTGTCCTCTCTCCGTAAAAACAACCTCAGACCCTTCCTTTCATCTCCTATTTGCCGCCTGAATATGTCAAATGACTGACACAGCCGCGTGTGAATACATTTGCATCATGTTCTAGTTTGTTCTTACCTTTTTTAGCCGGTTAGCTGGTCGGGGAGAAGCTGGACTCTGTGCCCTCCCAATTTTTTCCCCTCCTCCTCCTCCTCCGACCCTCCTATGTGATGTTTATTTCCCTCTTCCTCCCCTCCCTCCTCCTCCCCCCATCCTCTCACTGCCACTGTGGTTCTGGGAAAAGCACTGGCTGACTAATAGCACTTCCTAAACTGGGCTGGGACTGCAGGAAAAGGGAAACTGTGGAGAATGAACAGGAACAACGTGAGGACAGAGATGGCTGTCATGTTACTGTGTAGCTGTTATGTAGGTTTGAATGTACAGCAGCAACAGGCCTATATTTATCACAACCCTAACAGCCACATGATAGCACGGTCTTAACCTGATTACAAGGATACACTTCTGGGCAGTTACAGTTACTTCAGCCCTCACAGATCACAGACACAGTTTTCTAATACTTTCATAATAAGACCTATACTATCAATGGCCTGTGTATTATAACCATCAAGCTTTTATAAGCAGTGAACAAATATTTTATAAACAGTTAATAACACACTAGAAAGTAGTTGTACTCAGCTGTCAGTACACCTTTATGTGTTTATTATAGGGACAGTTCACCCCAATATTTCCCTCTCGCCTGTAGTGCTATTTATCGGTCTAGATTGTTTTGGAGTGAGTTGCAGAGTGTTGGAGATATCAGCCATAGAGTACCAAAAAATAAACTAAGCACAAAAAGTAAGGAAATTTGTGTTTGGAAGATTATTTTTTTGTTGTTGTAGCAATGCTTCTTGGCAATACATCTTATACTGTTGGAAAGTCTCTTTATTTCCCTTTTAAATTGTGCCACATTTGTAAGGAACATGCATTTGTGGGATGAGCAGCAGAGCTGAGTATGTGGGTTGCGCCCATGAAAAATTTGCCAAATCTTCTCTGCCAATGCCAAACAGCTTTTTTTTTTTTGCTGTTCTTGTTTTAACCTTCTGGTACCCCCAGGTGCTGACAATGCAGTGCCTGATTGGCACCTCACTGAAGGCAATCTCAATGCAAAGAGATATCGAGATGAAATTCTGCAACCAGTGGCAATCTCATATCTCCACAGTCTGGGACCGAACTCTATCCTCCAAGATGACAATGCTCGCCCCCACAGAGCGGGGTTTATCAGAGACTACCTCCAGAATTTGGGAGTGGAGAGGATGGAATGGCCTGCCAGCAGTCCTGACTCAACAACACTGAACACCTGTGGGATCAGCTTGGTTGTGCTGTTCCTTCCAGAGTGACCAACACAACCAAGCTGGCTGACTTGCGATAAATGCTGGTTGAAGAATGGGATTACATCCCACAGCAGTGTGTGACCAGGCTGGTGACCAGCATGAGGAGGAGGTGCCGGGCTGTTGTGGCTCTGTATGGTTCTTCCACATGTTTCTGAAGCTCCTGTTTGTTAAATAAATAAATTGTTAAATTGCCAATATTTCTTTTTTCTGAAGACTTCAATCATCCCATCCACCAAACAAGAGTCTGCAGCAAAAAAAGCTGTTTGGCATTTGACAAAGATTTGGCAAATTTTTCATGGGTGCAACCCACATACTCAGCTCTGCTGCTCATCCCACAAATGCATGTTCCTTACAAATGTGGCACAGTTTAAAAGGGAAATAAAGAGGCTTTCCAATGGTATAAGATTTATTGACAAGAAGCATTGTTACAACAAAGAAATAATCTACCAAACACAAATCTCCTTACTGTCTGTGCTTAGTTTAGATTTGAAGAATCAACAGCAATGTCTCTTTTCAGAATTCATGACCCGCTTACTCAAGATAATCCACAGACGAGTAGTTTCGTGTAGGCACTATTTTCTTTATACTGTATTTCACCCTCTAACAGTATCACCTTGCAGAAGTAAGTGTGCATCTACTCATGGACGAGAGGCTCGTGCTCATGGCAACAAGAGATGTAAATATTCATAACATCCTCCACTGCTGAGCTGTAAAATTAGTTAGCTAGCTAAGTGGTGCTGGTTGAGCTAGCGGTAGATGGATGCTTCCTTGATACTGTTGGTGGGTGTAGTTCTTGTGCTTGCCTCACCACATGCAAATGTTCCCCCAAAGAACTTCCCCCCTGATACTGTTTTGCAAGTGCCCCATCACTGCATCCTGGGTTTAGCGCTGTCCAAGATGACTGCAATTGGTTTAATGAAATACAAACAAGCCGGAGCATTTTTACACTATAGCAGAATGATAGTGTGCGATCCTAGACATGTAGGGACAAAACACACTAAAAAGAAACATCATCTGTTGGTTTTACTGTTACCATTACTGTTTCTCTCTCTACCCTCTTCTTATTGAGCTCAATGAAGAAGGTCACGCCCGTCCTCCGGTGGTTGTCAAACGGCACTCTGGGAAATAGAGGAAATCACAAAGTGAATTTAAAGCAGATGAATCACAACATCCATCCATCCAATTTTGTAACTGCTTTTCCTCTTGAGGGTCACGGGGGGGCTGGAGCCTATCCCAGCAGACATAGGGCAAGAGGTGGGCTACACCCTGGACAGGTCACCAGACTATCACAGGGCTGACACATAGAGACAGACAACCATTCACACTCACATTCACACCTACGGCCAATTTAGAGTCACCAACTGACCTGCATGTCTTTGGACTGTGGGAGGAAGCAAACTCCTCACAGATGGGCTCACTCCTGGAATAGAACCAGGAACCCTCTTGCTGTGAGGCAACAGTGCTAACCACCACACCACTGTGCCACCCCGGATCACAACAGTAAATGCCTTAACTTTCTGATAGGCTTTGAACATGTCGACATCAGAGGCAAAACAAGGAGGTGGCTCCTGGGGTTCAGCACCAAATGTTTTCTCAAAAGCCCTGAATCTTTCAGGTTTTTAAAAGGACGTTAAACTTTGTATCATTCAGGAAATATAATATGCATGTGGTGTTTGTCCTATTACACTATTCCCTTAAGAAATCTACACCAATTGAGTAAATGTCCTTGTGTTGGCCCAGAATTCAATTCAGTAGTAGAGTATTGAAGATGACACTTACTTGGCATTGTTGGAAATCTTTGATTTTCAATTAGAGCAGCCTAGACTATTATTGGATGGATTCAAATGAAGCAGATTTGTCAACTAAACATTCATCCTGTGAAATCCAGTGTAGCATGAAAACATTGGTTTTAAGATTATTAATGGTGTTTACGCCAAAGTCCTGCCTTACCTATGTTCTGTAGGTTAAAATAGTAACATCAGACATTTTTTTGCCTCTTTCTAGGTGGCAGGAGTGAAAATAAATCATCCTATTAATCTATTGTGTTATGATTTCAGAATGGTGAAGACAGCTGGAGAACAATAAAATACAAAATAAGATGTAGGCTCTATGGGATGATTTTTTTCCCTTGGCAACTATCAACTTTTCTCAAATGATGTACAGATTTTGAGGCATTTGATCATCTCAAGTGGCTCAAAAAGTTGGCATACAGCAGCTGTAAATGGGAAGAAATCCTTTGGGAAGCATGACCTATGAACCCTCTGGGTTTGGGCTGAGCCCCGAATGTTGGGCCTGCTCCCTATCTGCCTCCCAACTCTGTCCACTATACCCGTCAAGTTTTATCTGTTGCAGGATCTGTCCACAACCCTGTTTCCTCATACACGTTGCAGACTGACAGGTAGTGAGTGAGGCATTTTTTCAATTCAAAATGGCATAATTGATGGAGTTTCTTCAGCTAATTTGTTAACAGAAACTAAGTGGGTGAAATACAGAAAAAAAAGATGGAGAGTGGATTGAAAGACCAGATTCAGCCTGAAGTTCAGGACGTTTCAAAGGCAGTGTGCAGGAGAGCCAAATCCCTTCTTTTGGGCCTGCCTCCACAGACCTGATTGCTTGTTTCTCTTGCGAGATCTGGCAACCCTGACCTACACTTACAGGTGTGTTAAAAGCATCAGAACTGTTACCCATAATGCACCACTCACAGGCAGCGTCATCTCTCTGGTCCTCTGCTGGAGGAGGAGGGAGGACTGCAGGATTTGTTGCAATGTGATATTTCTCCAAACTGGTGACTGACTGCTTTTGTGATTGTCAATCTCGGATCTAAGGGTACGTCAGTTCACCGTGTGGGTGTGGGTGTGTGAGAGAGAGAGAGAGAGTGTGTGTGCATGCATGCAAGTGTGTTTTTCTAGAGGTGTGTGTGGTATAGAGAGACTACATCAGACAGACTTAACAAGTGTTCACTGTCTCTCTCCACCCTGCTCTCATCCCCCTGACATGTCGTCGCTGGCGGCACAAAAAAACTTGCGTCCTCCTCCTTCTTCTGCACACACACACACACACACACACACACACACACACACACACACACACACACACATTTCTATCCCTATCTACCCCCCTTTTTCTCCTTCAACAACATCCCCATTCAAGTGCATCAGCTCCAGGCGTCCTTCCTCCCTCCCTCCCCTTCCTCCCCCTCCCCATCGTTCACTAGTAGCCTAAGCACATAAAAAATACATCAAACACAGCCGTCTGCCCAAGGCCTCGTCACACGCAAAATCATCTCTCCCTCCATCTCTCTCTCCCTCTCTCTAAAAAAGAAAAACCCAAGTTACAAAAGACAACTACAGAGGACACTGATAGAAGGAGAGATAGACTGAACTCAGACGACAGAGGGTCGTCTGTGAGGCCTCCTGGGGGTAGACAGATTATTGTAATGTTAACACCAACTGCCCTCTCCCTCCTTTCACACACACACATACACAGGAAAGAGTTAAAAAAAAAAAGGAGCATGACTTACCTTGTGCATAATAAGACCTTGTTTGCATTGTACACAGCCTGCAGCGTCCTGACCCACTTCCCTCAGTTCAGCTCCACATCTGCTCCAGCACCAGTCTCGGCTGTGACAGTGGCCGAGGGCGGCCAGCAGCACCCACGGGCTACACTGTCAGATCCCCGGTGCTGAGATGCACCGAGACTGTAAAGAGAGGCCTGCTGGACCTCCAGCTCACGGCCAGCGCTCTTAAAAAATCATCCAAATCAGCCAAGACGTGCTAAATTGAACCACTAATCCAACACGGGGTTTTGCTTTGCACACTAATTATACACTTTTATTTTAGGCATAGATGTGAGTAGACACACACATAC